ATTGTTTGAGAATTTGGCACAGGGCTTTTTTTTTTTTTTTTTTAAAGTATAAAATTTAGACTTCATTTCCCTCATAAAGCCACTGGGCCCTGACTGGACAACAGTGACAGTCTGATTCCTCCGATTCTAAAACAGATTTTAAACCTGATAGTAAGTCACCATATTGGGGTAAAATATATATTACACATGGTTACATGAACTTTGTTTTTTAAAGGTTGATACCCTCTTCAGTTTATGAGAGGTACATTGTAAGGGGCTGCATTTATCTGAATTTCACCTTCAGCTGGTCCCACAGCCGCCCGAGGTCAGAAAGTTTCCCATGATCCATTTTTTGATTCTGAATTGACAAACTTGGAAGCAGGTGAATGAACTGTATCAGCCTCCTGGACCTTGAAGTTGACCGACCACTAATAGCCTATGTTAGTATGTTAGGGAAACCTTTTATTGTACATGAAGATTTGCTGTTACATTTTGACTGTATTTTGGGGGCTTCTGGAAACCATGCTGTTTTCCTTTGTAAACTGCCCTTGTCTTCCTCAGTGGAAGGAGAGTTGAGGTGTCTATGTAGGAGATGTGTTACTGGGACTTTACCTATCTGCCTCTCTTTAGCAGTGTAGGTGGCTCCCAGCATCAGTGTTGTGGGTACATGAGGTCAGGGAAGGATACTTTGCTAAGTATCTTCCTCTGGAAGAGATGGACTTCTTGGCAAATATTTATTGAATTATGATAGAGGCAGACATGGAAAACCAGTTCAGAGCTTGGCCTTTATATGCCTCTTATCCTGGAAATAAAATTATTTTCACTGTGAGAGAGAGGGCCTTGGACCAAAGCTTCCTGAGGACTTGAATATATTTTTTCTCACTCTCTTTTATTAATCCTGTCACTAATGCAGTACCTGAATAGAGATTAAAAGCTTTAGGAGGCCTTCAATAGGCAGGACTCAGAACCATTCCCCCTCTCGCAAGCCAAAAAGTATTTCTGGGGGACAGAATATCAGGAAATTGTTAACAGTAGGTAAGAATTATCTAGATGGGAATTTTGGGAAAGCTCACAGACACATTTACTTGGCACCTATGACCAAAGACTTATATTGAAGACCCCATTCACTGGTTTGATTGATGACCTCAGAAGCTCTGAGAGAGTTGTTAGGAGCTCAGTATCAACAGTGGAAACAGGTATTGGGTTTGAGCAGTGGTCCTGTATACTAGGGATGATTGTGTGTGTGGTGTGTGGTGTGTGTGTGTGGTGTGTGTGTGTGTAAACTCAAAAATGTTCTGTGTTATCATTTGGCCTAAGGAAGATAAAGGAAAAGACGTCACTAACAAGTATAAATCTTGGTGGGAACAAGGGGACCCCCTTTTAAAATTTGAATGTCTCTGGTCCTGGGTCCCCTATAAATAACCATGTGTCATGGTCATGGTTGTGGTGCTGTCTCACACAGAAACTCTGTAGAGCAAAGTCTCCTGCAAAGCCAAAAAGAAATCAGTCCCTTTCATGCAACTGTAATTCTTCCATGACTTCATTCACTTTATAATGTTCTGTTTGTGAATTATGATGATTCTCACTCCTTGTGTGAGAATGTATGAACTTTGGAAATTTGAATCTATCCAAGTAAGCCACCTATGGATTTGGAGTTTTTGCAGAAGAGTTCTAAACTCAAAGCTCAGTCCACGGATCTGGTTCTAAGCCTTCTTACTTGGGGTTTCCTATGTACTTGTTCCAGACCACATAGGTAATAGCCTCGTTTCTGAGGGCAGCCTTCAGGGTGAAGGTGGAGAAGGTGGTGGGCAGTAAATGCACAGGAGATTTTCTTGCTTCTGGTGTTTCAGAACTCTTAGATTTTTCACAAGAACCAGCAAAACCAGGAGAGGGGGAATGGAGAAATAGGCCTAAAACTTCTTCCCCTTATATCTTTTCTGACTTACCATACTATTTGGGTCTGTCCTGGTGCTATGGCCTATCACAAAGGACTGTTTTAAAAGAGAAACAATCTACAGCCTTGGTGGACAAGTCCTTAACACCAGCAGTCAAGTGTGAACCCTGAGTCAGGAAGCAAGGGTCTCTGACTATTTGGGGGGACAAAGGATGATACTGCCTAGTGAGATGATGCCACCATTGCTGATGGGGGTGCCTGTTCTCAGGATGTGTGGAAACTCAGTCATGATGGGTTTCTACATGATTTAGTCAACCTAACTGCATGCCTCGCTTGGCAGAATGGAGGTTAGCAAATAGTGCTGGAAGGAGGATTTACCTTTGGGGTAAATCAAATCACACAGCAGATGACTCAAGGACCCCCATACAAAGTTCAGACAAAGTTAAAACTGGACAGTTCCTTATCTCCTTTTGTAAGAAGGCTCTACGGAATTGTAGTTTGAATGCTTCTTTTGAGATTTTAAGTGCTCATTTCTTCTTCCTTTCTTCCCTTTTTTGGTTGAATATTCTCTAAAGACAATCAGAGGCCTGCCAGGGTGGGACTTCTGGCTGGTTCCAGCACTGTCCTTAGGCCTTTTTCTAATACTAACTTATTGGAACTGATGCACTTTGTTTATGCTTTTTTTTTTTTTTAAAGCTGCTTGTTTGGAATGAAACAAAATGCATATTGCATTGTATCCTTCCTGCTTGCTGTTTTTCTCTTAATTTTAAAAGTTATGCATTGAGGATAAAGTATAACTAAGGAGAAATATGCACAAGAATACCTATTAAAATAACTCCCATCAAGTTTGATGGGTATAACTTCAAGGGATTAAAAAAGAATTATTTTGGATGAATATTTTGCGTGGGGTTTTTTGTAAATAAGAGTGTATAATAACTTGTGGTATATTATGACAGTTTTAAGTGGTTGTAAGAGAATTAAAACAGGTCTTAAGCTATGTTTAACTTCATTTGACAGCAAAGAAGACATCTTGGCCAGAGTAAATTCTTCAAAACTCTTTCCATTGGGGCCTCAGAATCATCTCTGAAGAGAGGAGAAAGTTCCTTTTTACTTCAAAAAAATGAAACTTTCCAGAATTTCCCCCCCTCTCCTGCTGTCTGATCTTTACCCTTTGGATTTAGGTACTTTTGAATTGCATTTTAGGAAAGGTAGGAAGAGCAGAATATCCCCACAGCGACATTGCTCCTGGCATTGGGGAATCTGCCCTGATCTCGGAAGAATGCTTCTTGTTTGCCTACATTTGCCTTGGTACAGCAGCAACGGGCCTTAAGGATCCCTTCACATCTGGATGAGCAAAGCAGTGCTTTGCAAAAACTTCATTCTTCAGCTCTGTGTGCAACTTTCCTTAAGCTGCCTGTATCTACAAGCAATTAACAGTCTCCTTATACTCAGCCCACAATCTCTTCTGCTTTAAGTACATATCCTCTCGTTTGGTTCCCTCTGAACCCGAACTGTAACTGTTGAGCATCCCCATAAGAGACCTTCTTAGACTTAAAGACAGTAATGCAATTTTCCCTTACCTATTTATTTTCTTAACCTGATTTTCTGTATTTTCCCATGGTCAATACTTGTGGAGAGTTTTAAATTTTATAAATTAAAATTCAGTTTAATTTAAAAAAGTGTTGCCATGTTCTCTGTGCCAGGCACTATGCTGGATTCATGGGTGAATTAAAAACCAGTTCCCACCCTCAAGAGGCTCATGCTCAGCTGTGAGAAGAGATGTCTAATGTAGCAGTGTGAAAAGCTGTAGTGGAGCAGTATACACCAGGTGATGTGGAAGCCCGCTGGGGAGATGGAGGTCAGGCAGGCTCAAAGCACCTTGAGTTAGTGGTTCATTCAGTAGGGGAAGGGGAACAGTAGTATATGCAGCTAGAATGCCATTTGTGACACACAGAGGTGCAAAGTGCATTGTAAGAGAAGGGCTAGAGAATTGGCTCTCGGGAGCCAATACCATTTTTGTTCTCTGGATAATCAGGCTAATATTCCTGTTAACCCAGAAAGCTTTTGTATGGCATTTAGCCTTTTTGTTGGAATTCCTTGGTGGCTGTCTTTTAGGGGAAATTTCCCTAAATACGTATTTATTCCACAAATTGTAGTGCACTGTCTACTGGAATAATACCATGCGTACACTGTCATTAAGTGGATGCAGCAGGAAGGCTAGGGACTGGAGAGCACCAATAGGAGGTGTCTGGAGAAGAGCCACAGGGGCTGGGAGGGCAGATGGGAGAATAGGGACTAGCCCCTCGTAGAGGTAGAGAGCTGGTTCCAAGGAGTCAAAGGGTTCAGGTGGGAGTAAAAGTGCATGGTGGAGGGGGATGTTAGAGACACTGGCAGTTGTCAACAATTGGACTTTATGAAGCACGTTTAAAATGAACAAATGGGGCTAGGTTCACGTTTTCAGTATAAACCTTGCATATTTCTAAACGACAGCGACTGGATTAAAATGATCATTTACATAATGTTTAGGGAAGAAAAGAAAATCGACTCGGGCCTGATTGACGAATCTAAAATGAGCTTTTGGCTACAATATTCGTTCCAACAAGGAAAGCAGAAGGACGCCAAACGTCTGGATTAGAAGGAATATGCCTGTGTGCAGAGTCTTGGATTGTTTTCCTCACCGCCTCCTGCAGAATAATCTAGGCTGCTTGCTGAAAATGCGGATTATCCTGCCCTGCCTGTCTCAGAACTACTGAGTCGGAATCTGAGGGTGGAACCCAGGCGTATTTTTAATAAATCCTGCAGGACATGAAGTCTTCATTTTAGAAAGGAAAAGCATTTAGGCGTCCCGGCCCGGAGCTCAGGGTCCCCGCGCTCACCTGCTCCGCTCTACCTGTGGCCGGGTCGCACGGCCCGCCCCGCCCCGCCCCGCCCCCGCCCCGCCCCCGCCCCGAGCCCCGAGCCCCGCCCAGGGGCGGGGCGAGCGGGAGCGGCCGAGCCCCGCCCCCGCGCCCGGCCGAGCCAATCAGGCGCCGCGGTCTCGGACGTCGGGTTACGCGCGGCGGCGAGTGGGCCGCGGGGCGGAGGCTCCGGCTCCCGGCTCGGACTCCCGGCCCCGAGTCGGCGGCGCGGCCCCCGCAGGCAGCGAGGCCGGGCGGGCGGGTGGCCGCGGCGCCCCGCGCCCCTCCGCCGGGCCCGCCATGCAGGGCGCCGCCGGGAACGCGAGCCGCGGGCTGCCGGGCGGGCCGCCCTCCACCGTCGCGTCCGGGGCGGGCCGCTGCGAGAGCGGCGCGCTCATGCACAGTTTCGGCATCTTCCTGCAGGGGCTGCTCGGCGTCGTGGCCTTCAGCACGTTGATGCGTAAGTCCCGGACCCCGCGGCCCCACAGGCCTGTGCGACCCCCGACCCCCGGCCCCGCAGGCCCGGCCCGGCCCCGCCTCGCGGAGCCTCCTGCCGGAAGAGCCGAGGCCTGGGGCCCGGGGCCCGTCGGCGGGGGCGGGGGGCCTCCTGCCCTACAGCCCACACGCGCCTCTCCTCCGGGAGGACTGCCCGGAACTCGCCCCCCTGCTGCCCTGTCATCGCAAATCAGGCCACCGCACTGTCCAGCCTGGGGCCGGGAACCCTCAGCTGGAACAACCCTTTGTGCCTCCGCATGGAGTCTCCTCCCGTCCTCCCCTTCACACTTTGAACCCGCATCCCTAAATCCCCAGTCTGACGCTGGGCTTTTTCCTCCTCTTCACTCCGCAAAGATCGGCCCCTCCCCTCGGCTCTTAAATCCCTCTACTTTGCAGTACCTGGATCGTAAGGCCACGCGTCGGGTTCCCGTACTACTTCCTCCTGCCCCTCCCCCCCCCCCCCCGCTTTCTCCCAGCTTTATTTTCTGTTTTGGTTGGAGCAGGACCCACCCAGACTGCCTTCAGACCCACGTGTCCTCCTTCCCCTCCTTTCTTCCTGAACTGGTCCACCTGTTCCATCTCTGTCCCAGGCTTTCCTAAATAAGTTGCACCTCAAGCCTCGCCTCCCCTGGCTGTTACCCTGCCCAACCCACCCCATTACTTGTATTTCAAGTTTCCTTCCTTTGCATGAGACTCAGGCAACCTAGTGGCTTAATGGAGAAGGCAACTCAGAGGGTTTGGGGAGACCGCAGAATCCCTGTGCTAAGCCCCCCCCCCCCCCAGGAGCCCTTTCTTGAGAGTTTCCTGCTGGAGAAGACAGCCCCAGATGGCCTTTCTGGAAAACTGGAAGTTTCACCCTGTTGCACTGTGTGCCATGCGTCGTGGGGTTGTGTTAATTGGTGCACATCCTTCCCTTTATTACAGTGGCAGGAGGCTTCAGTTGGCTGTGGGCCTGGGAGTGCCCCTGTGATCGCATTTTGGGGGAAGGAAGGGTTATAACCATCCGTACAGAGGCATTATTAATTCCAAAATGACTGGTTCTCAGAACTTCCCCATAGTGCTCACATGGGCAGAGTGGAAAGTTTCTGCAGAAAAGTACACTCCTTAGCATCAGGAACGGATGCTGCAGCTGTGGGCATTTGTCGTTGGGTGGGGTTGCTGGGGTCACAGTGTTGCCTGTTAGAACTCCAGGCTTGTTTGAGTGAATTATCCCAGGCTTCGGGTAACCCCGAAGAGGCTGTTCTTGGATTCCACTTTCTTCTGGTTGCCTGGCCTTGATAAATCTTACCACAAGTGTCCAACTGTTTATGTATGCCACCTTTTCTTTCCTTTTTAGTCTCTACTTGCCTTACTGTTTTCCCAGCTGAACAAATGCCCACTTGTTCCCACAGTAATAATTTGTGACGACGTAGCCAAAATCAGCTGCTGACTTGGGAGCGTGAACTGTACGTGTGTATTTCCAAGACATTGTGTGTGGGTCTCCACTCCCGTCCCACTTCTGTCTCCTACAGCTGGTCTGCCCTTCTCTCTGAAGGAACCACAGTCTTACCTTGTATTTTGTTCCCTGACTTAAGATTTCCTAGCCCAGCTCTGCCTCTTTCCGTGGTTTGATTGCTGCTGGTGGCCTGGTGTATTCCTGAGGGCTTGATACTCATGGATCAGAGAGGGAGATGCGGTTTTAACGGGGCAGAGTTGCTCGCCGCCGAGAAGTGTGCCGGGTTGTCTGTGTTCAGAGTGACGGCTCTGGAGTCTTCAGGGACACACTCACTTTGCTTAATCTTCCGTGTGAGCACATGGGCAAACCCCGCTGCGGTTGGTGCTTTCTGTATGCAAAGATCAGACTACAGAGTGGCCTTTTTGCTCAGTGTAAGTCTAGACATGGAGGGAGCTTGTGGATGGGCACCGGTTCCTGGGACAGTGGTGAGGAGGAGTGACAGAGAGAAGGGGTGGCAACAACCATGTCTGCCTTGCTTACCTCTTAAATTTGTCATGGGGACGAGGAGGGAATCTCTCAGGGCTGCAGTTAAGTTCTGCTGTGACTCTGCTGGGGACGAGTGAAGGGGTTGGTGGTGCTCTCAGGAAGTGCCTCTGTGAGCAGTTTGGTTTGCCTGGGCTTTGTCCTCTCAGACACAGCGTCGATTCCCCGGGGAGGCAGAGCTGCTGGCAAGAGTGCCAGGCCCCCAGGACAAGTGTCCACCGTGCTGCCCCTGAGGGACTTCTCAGTTTAAGATGAGACCACTTCATCTTTCATCAGTTCCAGTGTTTTCTTTGCCGAGTATATTTTAAATAGCAGTCCCCTCTCCTGAGCTGTTTAAATTAACAGGCCCTACCCTCTTTGGGGGTCACAGTCTTTTCTCTCCTGGGTGCTTTTGCCCCCCTCAGCGATGGGCTCATTGGCTGTCTTCTCTGACACTTCTCCAGTTCTTTGGGGAGGTCCTGCTCCATTTTCCTGTCAGACCAGCTCTGGGGAGGATTTTGATTCTCACAAGGATTTCTCATCCTGGTGCTAGACTCTGTATGGGGGTTTTCAGACCGTCTCAGCCCAGATGGTCCAGAGTTAAGAATGCCAGGTGATGTATGTAGCCTGTATTCACGCTGCAGATGTACACGGCTTGTACCGGTCACCATCCATAGGCATGTCTCAGTGTCGGCTAAGACATGTCGGCGTATCTCACACTGCCCTCAGTGGCTCCACCTGAGCTACCTGCTCTGTACTCGAGGAAAGCTGAACACCCTCAGAGGCAAGCTTATAAAGAGATTTCCCAATCTGGGTTCTCTGGGACATCATCGAGAAGCATTGGTGTCTGAGTAGAAAGCAGTGCTTTCAACGAGGGGGCTTGTCATGACCCACCTGCTCAACCGTTCGTCTTGCTCTGGTAGCTTTATCTCTAGTCTGTGACTCGATGAAGTCACTCAGACCAGAGTCACAGCAGAACAGAGCTCAGCAGGCCAGGAGCTAGCATACTGTTGCACAGCGGCGCTGTGGCCCAGCTGTCAGCCAGAGGTCAGTGTCAGCCAGTGTGTGTGTTGGCATTTGGGAGTGTTGACTCTCAGGATGTGTGATGCCCAGCAAACACAAGCCTCCTTCACCAAGCACAAAGTTCTGGGCCAAAGTATAGACGGAACTGGTTTTTAACTCAACCAGTGTTTTGAGAGCTTGGATAAGCCGACCTGCCTATTTCTGTGTTACAGATGTGGGGACTACCAGCCAGTTGGGAGAGGGTGTCAGTGTTTTATAGAAACACTGCCAGCATTGAGAAACGATAGTTTTCCTTGAGACCCAGAGTAATATCACAAACCAGTCTGCCCAGCTTTGTAATCTTAATCTCATACAGGAGTCCCTGGTGTTTTGTCACATGGTGAACTGGCCTTCCTTTGTGTTCTGTAGGCACAGAGACCTACTGGGACCACCCTCCCTGGTATCCCCTCTTCCCACCCTATCCCAGTCTTTATCTTACGAAATGTCAAACATACAGGAAAGATGAAAAATAATACAGTGAGTACAATATTAGCTCTACCTAGATTCAGAAATTGTGTTTTGTGTTTTGCCACATTTGTGTGTGCCCCTCTCTCTCTCTCTTTCTCTCTCTCTCTATATATATGTGTGTATATATATATATATATACACATATATATATATATTTTTTTTTTTTTGGCCAAGCCATTTGAAGATAATTTTTTACTCCTGAAAACTTCAATTGAGTCTCCTTAGAGTAAGGACAATCTTCTACATAATCAGAGTTTCACAGTCATGCCTAAGGAAATTTATAACTCCACAGTATCACCTAACAGCCAGTTCATAGCACACTTCCCCACATGTCACAAGTCTCTCAGCAGTTTTTCAAAACTGTGAGCCAGCCAAGGTCCACACAGTTGTGTTTTGAAGTCATTTTTACTGTAGAAAAATCTCACCCTATATGCACCTTTTTTTTCTTCTTTTTTTAATGACAGCCATTTTTGAAGAGTGCTGGCCAGTTGTGTGTGGTGTCCCATGTTCTGGAGTTGTCTGAGTTTGTTGTGGTGTTTGAGCTGCTTCACTGACCCCTGTGTTACCTGAGTTTGGCCTGGAGGAGTTTTTTTAATTATTTTTTTTAAGGATTTTATTTATTTATTCATGAGACAGAGAGAGGCAGAGACACAGGCAGAGGGAGAAGCAGGCTCCGTGCAGTGAGCCCGATGCAGGACTCGATCCCAGGTCTCCAGGATCATGCCTTGGGCCGAAGGCAAGTGCTCAACTGCTGAGCCACCCAGGGATCCCCTGGAGGAGGTTTTAGATTCAAGTAACCTTGTTTTACAGCAAGAACGCTCTGTAGGCAGTGCTGTGTGCTTCATATTACATTGTGCCAGGAAGCGCATGACATGAGGCAGTCCTGCTATTTAGTAATCGTAGGGTCGATTACTTGGTGGAGGGGTGAGGTCCCTGGATCTTTCCCTTGTAAAAGGTATGTTTTCCCCTTTGCAATGAATAAATGATCTCTGTGATGGTGATACTTTGAGATCATGTGAATATCCTGTTCCTCAGTAACTTTTCCCTCAGTGGTTACTTGGTAATATAATGGAACATAGTGATGGCCGGAGTGGCGCTAGAGCTCAGGAGAGAAGGCCCCTGTCTCTGGGCCGGGCACCCAACACTCACTCAATAAACGTCAATTTCCTTTGCTCCCTCCAGAGTGCCAGCCGAGGCAAAGGCAGAAGAACATCTTTTTTTTCTGTCCCAGGCTGGTATTGTGCCCACAGGGAAAAGGAGCGCGGCCAACATTACCGTGGCAGCTGGTTAGGAATCTTTATTTTTAGAAAGTTTTCAGGGTTTCTGAACACTGATTTATCTGGTAGCATGTATCCATAATAGTGATCTCCTTTATTTATAGTAAAACTTAATTAATTTGGAGTAAAATCAGGGCCAGAGGGAGTTGTCTGAATTGGAGGACAGTCTGAGTTGTAGAATAATTTAATGAAATGCATTTT